CCCCAAAACCCCAAAACCCCAAAACCCCAGGAATAAATCTTAATATTGAACGCACATAACACGCATTAATTTGACTTAAGCGATTTAAGTATTAAGATTTGCAGCAGGATATTCTGACATCAACTCAATAATGTCGTCAAGATATTCTTCAATATTGTTGCCCATAAAAAATGACAAATGTGATTGGCTATAGAAAGGATTATGAGTTTATAGACTCTCTAAAATGTTGTAAAGAAAGGAATTTTTTCCACAAAAATTTATGCTGTTATTCTGAATTTCTTTGAAAATTAAATAAAATTCAGGCATAAAAACTTACTCTTCATATGTATGATCGAAAATAGTATTTTCTTCCAGTCTGCTTCTAACCCATTGAGAATCCTTTTGAGAAACAGTCCCATCAAATTCGCCCCACAAAAGAGCTAATGGAGTATCAATATCCTCCAAAGGAATTTGAGGAGGATATTCTGTCCCATAGGCTTGAAGATTCCCTTCAGTACCGTAATCAAAATAAGTTAACTGTGAAGTTCTGACACTCTGAAGGAAGTGCTCCATCAGTCTGATTCCCATTCCATTAGAAGTTCTAGCCAAAAAGAAATCCATTGCATCACTATCAAGAGCAGAAGGATTTTCTTCATCAAAGAGCAAAGCTGTAATCCCAGTACACATAGGATGGATCTGAAGACAAGATTGGTAAAGGACCCATCTGACTAAATAATCACTTTCACTTAAAAAGTTAACTCCTGCAGACTTAAAACTCTCGAGGATCCATGGGTAAGACCCCAATAAGGAATCTATATTTGAATGAGTATGAGCCATCATCAAAGCAGGAGCAGTCAAAATTGCCAGAGATGTTCTTGACCCAAAATATTCTGGCTCCAAGGCTAAAGCAATTCCTAATGTTGCTCCTGCAAGAGAATGTCCAAAGATTGCTGTTTGTGAATATCCAGTAGTCTCAAGTATAAAATCTACACAAGCCATATAATCATATCTTACTGTATCCATATAGAATTCCCAATATTCACTATCAGAAGATGAATCCAATCTAATATGCTGCCGACTGTAAGTATTGCCACGCAGGTTATACAGCCACACATCCTTTCCTTGATTAGCAAAATAGAATGCTGGAGAGTAAACTCCTCCAAGGCTTGTGTATGCCTCAGTTGTTTCAAAAGCGGGATGAGACATCAATATTGGTTCTTTGTTTGTGATATCAGATGAACTTTCAGGCCCATTTGGAATTCTCATCAGAGACAAAACGTAACCATCATCAGTAGTTACCTGATATTCCTCATAACCAAAGCCGAGTGCTTCTGCTCTTTCTCTGACACTCATGATCCAGTACCCATCTAACTGCGAGTTCACATGGGAGATGCAACAGAGCATGATTAAAACAGTTAAGAAGAATTTTCCAAAATAAATTTTGGTTCCAAGATAGCAACTATTCATCTTTAATATTTATTTTTAATATATTAGGGCTTTGCTCAAGTCTCGGGGTTTTGGGGTTTTGGGGTTTTGGGG